AAATAAGATAAAATAAAAAACAAACAAACAAACAAACAAAAAAACACAACACTGAAGCTATCTACAACCACAACTGCATGAGTTTGATCCATGGCCATGGAGCTGACCCACATGGTGTGGCAGAGCTCTTCTGTCACACCTGCTGCTCCCCTCAGCAGTGTACTTCATCAATCTGCCTGTTCTGCTCCCCACTCTGACCATGGTGAAACCATGCATTGCCCCTGGACCTCTGGACTGTAACCCAGTTCTATATGTATAAATCTTAAATCAAAACAAACAAACAAACAAATAAATCTGACTTACCCAAGATTCCCATATCGTATCTTCCATTTTTTTTGGCATTTTGAACAACTGCAGTAAGTGTGTCTGCAAAATACTGAAATAACGCATTCTGTTGATGCACCTCCATGCCCAAAATTCTATTTAAGAATTTTCCTATGTTGTTATAATCTGCAATGACAAGATTATACTTAAGATTTAATACATTCAAGTAGCAATTAAAATTTTATTTATCTAAATCTAGGTCAACATCCACTTTCTCCTGGAAAGTCTTTCCTTACAACTTCAGCAGTTTCTCAGAACAGAGCTAACCTTTGACCATTTCAACCCCTAGAAACTGGTAAAATCACAGTATATGCTCAAAATATTTAACTGAATTAAATTTCTCATCTTCAACTTCACCTACTCGAAGAATCACAAAATTTAACACATGACACTGCCAACAGGATGTCTTAATTCATAAAGTTTTAAGTACTACCAGTAAACTTTGAAATGCACAATTGGAGTACGTTAGAGGTTTGGAAAATGACCAGTATCTGCGTTCCACCACTGGTTTTAGTATTATTTAAAAGCTTTAACAACTGATCACATATATGTGTGTGTATATATATAATCAGGATGAAGAACGGCCACCAAAATGACAGAGATTTAGTCTCAATAGTTCGAGAAGGAAAAAGCACCCAGAGACTCTGAATGTTCAGAAATGGGGTACTGAAGACTACTCATTTGAAGTTGCTCTTCAAGTTGACAAAACCATAAACCACAAAACAGGCTTCATAGATACTGCAGGTTATGCGCACACACAAAACCACTACCTTTATCCAGAGTAAGAATTCCTGAGCGATCTTCTACATTAATCAGGCCGACTCCTATCAGTCCTTGTCGAACATCTATGAGAAAATGAATTCATGAAAAACTGTAACTCAAATGACTCAAGGACTTATCAAACTAATCAAGTTTTAGTATTAAGTCACAGCCTGTTCATCTTCCATAGTTCCACAGATCTCTTCACTAAGGTCTTTAGGCATTCCTAAATCTTTTGTAACTGAAATCTCACACTGTATTTCATTATTCAAACAGCTAACTTTCAAAAGCAAATTCTGTTCTGCTCCCCACTGTATCTCCGGTGAATCCTTTCACCGCCCTGCACCTCTGGCCTGTGTACCCCAGTTCTACATACATAAATAAATCTTAAAAAAAGGGGGTGGGGGGAGTACTCTGTAGGTAACTTTAATGATACTGTAAAGTTCTGTTTGAACAAGCATAGAAAAAAGAAGTGGACAACTGTCCCTATCTCAGATTGTCAACTTTTGGGATGTCAACAGATGAGAATAGAAGGAGGGAGTTAAGGGAAAAACTTTTACTCTCTTCATTATACAATTTCACATTGTTATTCAATGTATATTTTTTAAAAACCAGAAACTGGAGAGTTGTTTTTGTCTTCTTTCAACAACTAAAACAAAACCAAAAAAGAGAGAACAAGGCCAGGCTTTATTGTTTCTATTTTTGTTAAATGCCTTCAGTAACCATAAGAATTCCAGCCAGGTATGTCAATATAAACTGTTGGCAACACTGAACTAATTTACCTGGAAAGAACTTTCCATAGAAAATGCTGTTGACAATGACAGAGCTTCAAATATTTTACACTAATCTTACTATTTTCACTGGTCATTAGAGTACTTGTATTTATATGGTAAAATCTATTCTGCAGATTTGCAATATAAGTCTAAGAATTTCTGTATTACTACCTAGAACTTTGTAATACAAACATTTCCAAACAAACACAACAGCAGAGAGACTACTTTATGACTCACACATACGTACCCCATTATCCAGGTTCAACACTTATTATGGCGAGTTTTGTTTTCTCTATACCCTTGCCCCTACCACCATTCTCCACAGGTTTCTTACCTAAGTACTCTACCTTCAGTTAAAATTTAAATGCCATTTAGCATAGTGATATGAAGTTAACTGAATAAATCCCCTCTCTCTATAAATATCTAATAAACTATGTCAGAGTGAAGGCAACTCGCTTTAATGGCACTAGTACACATTGTAATAGGTCAGTACAGATGTAACCTTCAATTTCTGAATTTTATACTTCAAATAGCCAAAGAAAACCAAAACAACAGCACAGAATTTAGTACCTCGTGTCAGTACATATTTTCCTTTGCTATGATTATTTTGAATAGTTACCTTTAAAAAATTCTCCAGGATAGTCTGGAGGTGGTGATACCATAGGTGAATCTAGGTTTACAATGGACTTCATAACAATTTCTAAAGCATTTCTTCCATACTGGGAAAAAAAAAAATTTTTTTTTTAAGTAGTGCTACTAGCATTTATTTAGTTATTATTCAATCATATGAACAATAGAAGTTTATACTATTATCATACCAAAGGTTCAAAAGTAGTGGGGCTCATTCAGCTTGTTATCTTTGTAGTTTTTTATATTTCCAAGATCATGCCTTACCACAGAGCAGATATTAAATAAACTCTTTTTACTACTTCTGGGGACTCACACTGGTTTTGCATCTATTTATTATATTGCAATATTCCAATAGGAATGAAAAGATGCCTGTTGGTCACCAGAGATCTAACTAAACTTAAGATATGGTCTTACAGAAAGCTGTGACTCTATAGCAAAACTGTAAGAGGAGGAATTTTTAAGTTTTAAAAAGAAATCACATTTCTCTTTTGGTTCACTACAGACTACCAAATACTACACTACTACCAAAATTTCCCAGAAACAGTGAAAGCTGTAATGTACCTTATTATCAAAGTTGAATCTGCTCAGATCCCTAGATTCTGTTGCTCTTCTGTCACCATGGGTAAGTGCTCCCTTTCAAAACATAATATTTCTAGTTAAGGCATAGAAGACAGATAACACACACCATCTTTACAAAACACACCCATAGAACTAAAAAAATTTACCAAGCTTTCAAGTCTTTTGGCAACAATAGATGCAAATCTTTGTTCTCCTGCCAATTCCGAAATCAGAAACACATACTCAGGAGCAGTAACTTGGTTTGATCTATGAGTTCGTCCTGTAATATAATTAAAAACAAAAACAAAAACAACACTGATTGTGTCCACTATATACAGAACATGCTGCAGTCATTTCTAGCATTTTACGCCAAATTGTATTCATCAAAAACCTTTAAATGAGAAAAAACACAAGACTGTGACCATCACCATAACTCCATTAAGAAAACAAAACTGCATAAATTAGTATAGCACAAAATTTTTATTGTCACTTTTGTTCTGGCTAACCACAATGTTGCTCTCATTTTCAAAAAGTTGTTCGTTGAGTTGCCCGGTCACAAAAACATGAGAATGAAAAAAGCAGCAATGATGTGCCCTTAATGAAGTCACCAAGGGTTGAAAATGATGTGGAAGTGGCAGCTGCCCTGAGATAATCCACACATCCTGAAGGTCTAAAGAAAATACCTTCATGGAACCCTGTTCTGGGATGCAAGGCCGAAACCCCCAGGAAATCCCATTACAAGTCTCTGAAGTCTAAATCATGTACACAATTCACAAACATCTCCAAAGTCTAAATACCTCTCATTTTAAGATGCCTGACATAAAATATAGGTCTTGACAGGCATACATTTCCCAAAGAATTCCTAGTTATCCATTACATGAAACTGGGTGTAGAAACTTACCGAACTGCTGAATAGCTCTATCAGCACTCCAGGGTAATTCCAGAGTCATATGAACTCTTCGCCTCTGATTTTTAGCTCGGCGATCTGCTTGTAATGAAATACCGGAGCTGGCAGCTTCTGAGATGATAGCAATATTCTGCAGTGAATGTAAGAAGGGAAAAAATGACATATCACCTTTCATAAATGAAGTCCCTTTAGCAGACTATTGGCAGTCCACCAACACACATTTCCTTCTGTTCTTAAAACTTCAGAGCCCACGGTTATTAGCTAGAGAAGGTAACCTGGAAACAGAGAGCTACATAATCAAAGGACAAAACACAAGAGGTACAACGGAGCCATACCAGCCCTAGTCCACCCTCTCAAATGTGTACTCACCAATGAAACTTCTACCTGTTTAACTCAACAATGACTTTGGATTTTCTGTCACTAGCCAAAACGAATTCTGAACAATACAATTTCTAAAGCACCTAAGCCTAATATGAAACTTCATAAAATAATTGAGAACACCTCTGCCTACAATCTTTAACATAAGCAACATAACTTTTCTAATAGACTTAGAAGATCATTTTGACAGTGGTAACCATGATCTTGTTCTCTAGTAGCAAAGGCAGACAATTAATTGAAATATAATGCAAAGTGCGGGTCAAGGGATTTTATTCCATACTTTTTAGGTTAAGGGATGAGGTTGACATGGTGCTCTTGCCATGCCATTTTTTCCATTACCAATTTTTTTTTAAAAAAAAGACTTACTTATGCACACGGAACTGGGGTATAGGCCAGAGATGTGGGGGCAGAGAAGATTCACTAGAGACAGAGTGTGGAGCAGAACAGAAAGACTGACCAAGTAAACGGTTGAGGAGAACAGTGGGTCAGACAGGAAAAGAGGTCTGCCATGTCCTGTGGGTTACCTCCCTGGCCTGGGATCAAACTTGTGCTGAAGCAGCTGTGGCTAGTTTCAGAGTGCTGCACTTTAACATGTTGTGCCACCAGGAAGGGTCCCCCTACCAATATTTTAAAAAAAAGATTTATCTATTTATGCACACAGAACTGGGGTACAGGCCAGAGGTGCAGGGGCAGTGAGAGGCTTCACCAGAGACAGAGTGGGGTGCAGAACAGGCAGATGGATAAAGTACACTGCAGAGGGGAGCAGGGGGTAAAGCAGGAGAGGTCTGCTGCACCATGTGGGTCACCTCCCTGGGTGCAGTGGATGTGCCTTCATAATGCTGTGCTTTAACCCGATGCACCACCAGGGATAGCCCCCCTACCAATTTTTTTTTTAAAGATTTATTTGTGCATACAGAACTGGGGTACAGGCCAGAGGCTCAGGGGTGGCGAGAGGCTTCAACCAGAGACAGAATGGGGAGCAGAACAGGCAGATTTACAAAGTACACTGCTGAGGGGAGCAGCGGGCGGGTCAGGAGAGGTCTGCCACACCATGTGGTCACCTCCGGGGCAGGCGGGGATCGAACTCATGTGGAAGTGGCTTTAGCTTCTCAGTGCTGTGCTTTAACCCGCTGCGCCACCAGGGAGGCCCCCCCCCCTACTAATCTTTAAATGTTGAAAGCCATTCCAACTGATTGGAGGAAGACCTCATCTGAGAAACTGAAAAACTATGTTAACTTAAGAGGCTATAAAGAGCCTTTGGAGGCAACCAAGACAGCTATAGGGGAGACACACAAGTTCAAGCTATAGGCAATTCATATGGAATATGAGCCAGTAAAAGAACAGAAATACCAGGATGTTTGCTATCTGAAAAGTCTTATGTTGCCTGACACTAGAATGTCACATGAGGCAGCTTAAGCTACAAAGCATATTCTGATGTGGGTGTCCCTGGTAGCCTAGTGGTTATGTCTCATTGCTAATCACTGCTGCTGCCTAACTTTGATTCCTGGTCAGGGAGGTGATCCACAGGATGCAGGAATCCACTCGTCTCACTTGCAGCTCCCTTCAGCAGTGTTATTTCAGTAGACCTGCCTGCTTTGCTCCCCACTCTGTCTCTGATGAATCCTCTCAACTCTTCTATCTCTGGCTTATACCTTAGTACTACATTCTACACAAAACTAAAAGCTTTTAATGAAAGTAGCAATTCTGATCAAGATGTCAATAGCTTCCTGGCTACAAGAGCCACATCTAGTACTGTGCACAATACAAATATGCTTGATGCTGAATTTATGGGAAATACTGTAACATGATCAGTGATTACATGCAATTATTACAACGTACTGAAAAACATTCAACAGACATGATTTATAGTGAGAGAAAATACCTTACAATGCTAAATCTATGGGCATTATTCTTTTCACTGAAAAATCCCAGAAAAACATACCTTCTCTCCATCCATAAATCTCTGCTTTTCTGTGATATTCAGTATTTCCACGGGGACATCTATTTCAGATCTTGATTCATAAGAAATGCTTCCGTCATCGTTGCTTACAACCCTCCCCTTCCGGCCAGTCATCTGAAAAAGCCAAATAGTATTTACTTAAAATTAAGGTATCTGAATTCAGCACAAAGTGTTCAGACCCATTCTAGAGAAGTATGTAGGCCCTACTGGACCAGGCACAATGGGGGAGCACACTGTGACACAGTACTGGTCTTACGAAGTTCAAATTCCAAAGGATAAAGCAGACATGCAGCCATGACCGCAAGACTGTGACAGAGAATAGAGACACTAGGAATAATACTAGAATAAACATGAGATACAACCTCTAATTAAGGATAATTACACCAATTATTGTGTAAAAAACCCCAAAATAAAACTCCACACCCAGGCTTCAAAGTGGCAAAGATATTTCCATGAAGAGACACAGTCCTGTTCACTTCTTATTTACCTCAGCAACATTCTCAGGGCCACCGAGTTCATCAATAAGCTCATCCAGAGTATTAGGAGGGAGGTCTTCAGCAAGTTTCTCTAGTTTGTCAAGCAGGTCTTTCTTCATCTGCTGGGCCCTTTCCACAGCATCCTGGCTTGTTATAAGGCTATTGTTACTGTTGGTGTTACTATTAGCTAGATAAAGTAAATTTGTTAGAAATCAGTACAAAGTTTATTTGTTTTGTTTAAAAATACATTTCACAGACACATAAGCTTCTGCATGGATACCTGGTGCACTATGAGGAGCAGGTGAAATAACTGGTGTTGATGAAAAACTAGGTCGTTTTGATCCAAGACCTGATGCTAATAAGGCACTTTGAATAGAATCTGGATCTATACATTTCTTCTTTTTTTTCTCTTTATTTTTCTTGTGGTCTTTTCTAATTAACCAGGGATCTGAAAGTTAAGGAAAGATAAATTCCAAAACATTTTTTTAAAACTACTTCAGGATCTTCAAAGGAAACAGCACTTGAACTTTTTGGTAATGTCAAGTCAGAGATAATCAGTAACATTTGTAGTCTAGATCCACATACCATGAGGTACAATTCCATGTTTCAAGGTTAAGAATAACTACAAAAATTGAGATACATGAGCTAACCCTCTGGAAGACAGACCACGTCATCAAGGATAGACCATTATTATCTATGATGATTTTATATTACACAGAAAAAAAGTTTGACTATACCTCCCATCTTTGACTACATAAAACTACCTATCCTTTAGCTTACATTTTACATACTGACTTACCATCTTCATCATCTTCACTAGACTCATCTCTAAATGGATTGAAATCATCGTCATCCCCAGAACTCATGTTTTTAGAGCTTGCATAGTCACTTTCATCATTATCAGAGGCATCAGATTCACTTCCACTGTCATCAGAACTGCTACCAGTGAGGCCACCAACTTTTCGTGCTTTTTTGGCTTCTCGAGTTATTTCTTCACCTACCCAGAAAACCCAAACAAGAGAGTCAACACACAAACATTGCTTGAAAGATTCAGGAAATTCATTTAATTCATAAGTTAAATGAAATAAGAAGTGTGGAAGCTATTTTTTTTTAAAGATTTATTTTATTTATACATGTAAGAATTGAGGTACAGGCCAGAGGCTTAGCGTATGAGAGGATTCACAAGAGACAGAGTGGGGAGCAGAATAGGAAGATCTAATGAAATATTCTGCTGAGGTCAGGAGAGGGGATTGAACTTGCGCTGCAGTGGTTGCAGATAGCTTCTTAGTGCTGGGAAACGAGGGAGGACCTAAGAAGTTGGAAGGTATTAACATAAACAAAATTCGTAAGTATTAGCCTTCTTAGTCGGCCTAAGAAGTAAGGATGCGTTCAATTACTCGTCAGAACAAACTGGATATAGAAGCACGCAAACTCAAGACAGCTTTCACATGGGCTGTTTCAAAATAAATTCAGGACAAGAAATAAAATAGTATCTCTGGCACAGTTACACCTGAATTGTGTATCAGACAGAAAAAAGGTTTAATATATGCAATTAAGGGAAACTTGAATATGACCATTCTAAAATATCATTGATACTGAGACAGCATCGTACTTTTTGTGTCACTAAAATAAGAAACACTTACAAGTTAACGTAAGTATTTCTGTGAAAGTAGCCAGCCTACTTTTAGGAATATTAAAACTATCTTAGGGCCCTCCCTGGTGGTGCAACAGCTTAAAGCATGTCATTACGAAGCTACTGGCAGCCACTTGAGCTCAAGCTGAATCCCTGCACCGGAGGTGATCCACATGGCATGGCAGACCACTACTGTCTCGCCCACTGTTCCCCTCAGCAGTGTACTTCATCAGTCAGCCTGTTCTGCTCCCCACTCTGGTGAATTCTCTCATTGCCCCTGTACCTCTGGCTGTACCCCAGTTCTATATGCAAAAAATAAATAAAATATAAAAAATAAGTAAGACTATCTCAAAACAGATGAAATAAGGTTAAAGTGCCAGGCATTGTGGTTAGAATACACAGCATCACAGACAGCTGTTAAAGTTTTATAAATAGTGTACCATTATTTTCTGAAACTATAACAACTTAACAAGCAGCTATTAAACACAAACTGAAGTATGTATTATGTCTACCAAAAATAGGTGATCGTATTCCTAATAGCAGTCTCACTAAAGAAAACTATAAAAACATTCACTTCTCTCCTTCTACCTACCTTTTTTTAATATTAAATTTATTGTTTTTTTAATATTTTATTTTTTGTTTTTGTACAGAAGAATAAGTTGCAGGTAAGAGGTGAGAGGATTCACCAAAGACAGACCAGGCAGACTCACTGAAATACACAGCTAATGGGAGCAGTGGACGAAACAGGTGAGGTCTGCTACGCCTTATGGGTTAGCTCCCTGGCAGGGGATTAAACTCAGGCCTTCTCCATGGGCCTTCATAGCGGTAGTGCTGAGACTTAACCCCTAAGCTACCAGGGAACCTCCTATACCTACCCACTTGTAAAGAGTATTCTGACAACCAGAAAGACTGGATATTTGACGCTAGGCACCATGCACTAGTTGCAGGAAAACCTCTGACTTAATCTTTCTATGCCTTCACCCTCTGTCTTTAGAAGTCCCTTCTATTGGTTAAATCAGATCATGTATGGCCAGAACATGCACAGGACCTCACACCAGTCAACTGTTCAAGCCCTGATTTAGAGCAAGGGCTTGCTTCTGCATGGACGACAGTGAAAACACACAATCACTTCCTAATTCAAGACAGGCACTTCATTCTGAAGCCACAGCTCCTTCAACATGTTCAAGTTTATAGTACTTTCAGCATTATTTAAAGAAAAAAACCCACCTTTCCGCTTCTTTATTTTATTTTCTTTACAGGGACTGTCTCTTGGTGAACTGTTGTTGCTTGGAGCTGTCAAATCAATGCCTAGCAAACTATAAAGTTTCTTCCTGTCTGGAGCAGGGAAGTGTTTTTCAATAAGTGACTGCAATACTCCTCTACAGGAGAATGAAAAGTGATAATTAGTGATTCAGTTTACAAAATAAAATTGTATGAAGTACAAAGGAATAAATTTCTTAAAAATATACTTTGCTCAATCTTACAAAATACTAGTAAATCAAGCTCAAATGAATTTTAATTTTCTAGTGCAAGGCTATATATAACTGAAACAGAATACAAGTCAAGACACTAATTTTTATTACATTGTTTAGAACTTAACATTTGAAAGTAGTGACACTGATTTTAATAAGCTTGATGTCTCTTCCACATGTTATCTATGAGGATATCCACGTTATCCACATTTTATAGTATTAAAAAAAAAATGACTTATTTATTTACACATAGAAGAACTAGGATACAGGCCAGAGGCGAGGGGGTGGAAAAAGAAGATTCAAAGACAGAGTGGGAGTAGACCAGGCATATAAACTGAAATATACTACGAAGGGGAGCAGCAGACCAAACAGGAGAGATCTGATGTGCCATGTGGGTCAGCTCCCTGGCCGGGGATCAAGCTCATGCTGAAGTGGCTGTCACTAGCTTCATAGCACTGTCCTTTAACCTCTTTCGCCATCAGGAAGGGCCTTAAAACTTTTTTTAAAAAAGCTACATCTTTCTTTTTTTTAAGATTTATTTATTTATGCATACAGAACTTGGGTACAAGCCAGAAGTGCAGGGGCAGTGAGAGAATTCACCAGAGTCAGAGTGAGGAGCAGAACAGGCAGATCAACAAAGTACACTGCTGAGGGGAGCAGTGGATGAGACAGGAGAGGTCTGCGATGCCATGTGGATGGCCTCCTGGGCCAGGGACTGAACACGCACTGAAGCGGCTACCATTAGCTTGCAGTGCTGTGTCCTAACTCATTGCACCCACTGAGGATCCCTAAATGATTTGTTGTTTTTTAAAAAAAGAGTTATTTATTTATACATACAGGTCTAGGGTACAAGCCAGAGGTGCAGGGCAGTGAGAGGATTCACCAGAGACAGAGTGGTGAGCAGAATGGGCAGATTGACAAAGTACACTGCTGAGGGGAGCAGCGGGCGGGTCAGGAAAGATCTGCTGCGCCATGTTGGTCACCTCTGGGGCGGGGACTGAACTCATGCTGAAGTGGCTTTAACTTCTTAGTGCTGTGCTTTAACCTGCTGTACCAGGGACAAAATTTTTTTTTTTTTTTTTTTTTAAAGATTTTATTTTATTTGTGCATACAGAACTGGGATACAGGCCAGAGATGTGGAGGGTGAGAGAATTCACCAGAGACAGAGTGGAGTGCAGAACAGGCAGATCAACGAAATACACTGCTGAGGGGAGCAGCGGGCGGGTCAGGAGAGGTCTGCCACGCCATGTGGTCACCTCCGGGGCAGGCGGGAATCGAACTCATGAGGAAGCGGCCTTAGATTCTCAGTGCTGTGCTTTAACCCGCTGCGCCACCAGGGAGGGCCTATTTTCTTTTTTTTTTTAAAAAAGATTTACTTATTCATACAGAACTGGGGTACAGACCAGGGGTGCAGGGGCTGTGAGAAGATTCACCAGAGACAGAGTGGGAAGCTGAACAGGCAGACTGATGAAGTATACTGCTGAGGGGAGCAGCAAGCGGCTCAGGAGTGGTCTGCCACACCATGTGGATCACCTCCAGGGTGAGTGGGGAATCAAATTCATGCAGATGTGGCTTTAGCTTCTTAGTGGTGTGCTTTAACCAGCTGTGCCACCAGGGAGGGCCCCCAAACGTTTTTTTAATGTCTCATGACTACTTACAATTTGTACAGCATTTCTTAATTAAACTGAGGCAAACTTATTTATTGTTACTCTGAATAAAGTAAATTTCAAGCAAAGTGAAAACTAAAGCAGAAAACAAACCAAATTTTCTTGTATTTCTAAGACGTCCCAAGCAAATGAAAATCAAGTCCTCCCATTAACCCAAATACTATGCATGGTGTCTTCAAAATACTGAACATTTCAGCATTTCTGTGTTTTCCAACACATACACATCATGGAAAAGCACATAACTGCAAAAACTAAGATCAGAAAAGCTTAAAAAAATGAAACAAGACAGCCCTCCCTGGTGGCTCAACGGGTTAGGGTACTACTGCAAGCTGGCCACTGCTATTTCAGTGCCGGTTCAATCCCTGCCCCCGAGGTAACCACATGGCGTATCAGACCTCTCCTAACCCGCCTGTTGTTCCCCTCTGCAGTGTACTTCGTTGGTCTGCCTGTTCTGCTCCCCACTGTTTCTGGTGAAGCCTCTCACCATCCCCACACCACTGGCCGATTCCCCAGCTCTGTATGCATAAATAAAAATAAATCTTAAAAAAAAAAAATTAAACAAGGCAAATAAAAATTTTGCCCCTAGGAAAGGCCAACATTTTGAACATTATCTAAGTAAAAAGTCATTAACAAAAACATTACTTGGCTGTTGAAACAAAATCATTCAATTCTCCGCCACCCTCTTCCAAGGCTTCTAATGTTCTAGCTTCTCCTGTAGACTGCAGACCAATTACGACACACTGGTGAAAAAAAAAAAAACACTAATCATATTAATGCTGTTTAAGACCTATGCATGTTGCTTAAAACATGTCAAGTATTTAAAAAAGCATGTCATTCAATAAGAATAACACATTATTATTATGTATGTATTTTATTCTACATGTATTGAGAAATGCTGTGTATACAAAATGAAACCAGCCAGGAAACAGAATTGAATCAGTGAAAAGGAAGTCCCTCAACGAGGGGATTTACAGTTCTTTGTGCTGAGTAGATGGGCATTTGCCAAGAAGAAAAGTCTTCAAGGCAATGTTTTCAAGTCATCAACAGTGACATGTGTGCCCAAAGTAAAGTGAAGCCCTTTTCCTTATACATTTTTGAACGATCTAAGTTCTAGATAAACACATAGCCATTTTTGTTTAAAAAAAAAAAAAAATCCTTTGTTTTCTTAATGTTAAACCTTTTACAACTATACTTTATAAAGAGCATTCACAAGAAGTCCTCAACACCCAAAAGAACATAAGCAAAGAATAACCCTCCACTGTATTCCCCAACTTACTTTTCCATTTTTAATTTCCTCTCGAGCTAGTTGCACGACTCTTTTGACTTTGGATGCTATGCACAAGTATTTGAAAAATCTCTGGTGAGCAGACCAGAACTGACCCCACATGGATTTCTTCATTCGTTGCTCCGCATCGATTAGGTCTGCTGCCTGCTGAAATCGCTCTCTGGCAATGACCCACTGAAGATGCACAATCAACATGTTAGATATTCCACTCTGAGTGAGTGTTATTGTTGCTGGTTGTAGAATTATTAAAAAATAACTAATTCTGGCCCTCCCTGGTGGCGCAGCGGGTTAAAGCACAGCACTAAGAAGCTAAAGCCACTTCCTCAAGAGTTCGATCCCCGCCTGCCCCGGAGGTGACAAGGCCAGGCAGACCTCTCCTGACCCGGCAGCCGCTGCCCCCCTCAGCAGTGTGCTTCGTTGATCTGCCTGTTCTGCTCCCCACTCTGTCTCTGGTGAAGCCTCTCACCGCCCCTGCATGTCTAGCCTGTATCCCAGTTCTGTATGAATAAATAAATAAATCTTAAAAAAAAAAAACTAATTCTATGACTTGGTGATGGGAAACCCGCGGGGATTACAATTGAGATGGAAAAAAAATGTACAAAATGATGTAAAAATAAACTTTTGTTAATAATAAAAAATAATAACTAATTCTATTACAGTGATAGTAAGTACAAGATCACCAAACATTAATTTAGTGAAGCATTTCTAGGAATTTGAAATTTTCAACAGACATTTAAGATGCTCAGTGGAGTTATCTCAAAACTTTTTTTTTTTTCCAAGATTTTATTTGTGCATACAGAACTGGGGTACAGGCCAGAGGCTCAGGGACGGTGAGAGGCTTCACCAGAGACAGAGCGGGGAACAGAACAGGCAGATCGACAAAGTACACTGCTGAGGGGAGCAGTGGGCGGGTCAGGAGAGGTCTGCCACGCCATGTGGTCACCTCCAGGGCAGGCAGGAATCAAACTCATGAGGAAGCGGCTTTAGATTCTCAGTGCTGTGCTTTAACCCGCTGCGCCACCAGGGAGGGCCTCAAAACTCTTTTTAAGATTTATTTATTTATGCAAACAAGAGCTGGGGCGCAGGTCAGTGGTACAGGTAGGTGAGAGGACTCACCACCGAGTGGGGAGCAATAGAGAGACAGGAGAGGTCTTCTGCGCCAAGTGGGTTAGCTCCCAGGCCAGGAATTGAACTCATGTTTTACTGGCTGCAGACAGCTTCATAGTCCTAACACTTAACCCTTTGCACTACCCTTTGAGGTCTCCATCTCAAAATTCTGATTAGCCACTGCCATCATTTTAGGAAAGTTTCAGTATTTTTTGTCTTTTAAAGAATTATTTTAACAAAGAAAAACTGGGAGAATCTGAGGATTGGTCTTTTTTATACTGCTGTAGGCTGACATACATTATACTGAGCAAAATTAACATTCTGAGGTAAGTTAAAAGTACTGGAATTAAAAATTCTCACCAGCTTGACTGCTTTGTTATACATTTTAACATAACTCTGAGAAAGAAGAACTTCCTCAATTTTGAAGGTCACTCCAGTAAAGCTCAGCTGTCGAGCAATGTACATTCCTCTTAGCTTCATATCCATAGCAACTATTTCCATGGCGCCCACACCTCTGAATAAAATTAAAACACACAGTAACTATCATTAAATATAGTAGGGCTTTAATATACATCGAAGTGGTTAGCAATAACACATCTTTTAGATTGCTACTTGTAATGTACATTACCTCCGTTCTACTGCTTGAATGAAATCACTGAATTCTCTAAATGGAGTTCCTTCACCCCAGATGCCAAGACGGTTCATATAAGCCATATTTCGTGGTTCAGAAGCACCTGAAAAGTTCCCCGATAAAACATTATAGCTGAAAAATTAACCTAAGCATGACTTTTTATTTTACCTTACTTATTTCTTAAATGCTTTATGAAGTAACATTTTTTATAACATTATGTGAAGGTCTGAGTGTAACATTGTAATCTGACACCTGTACAATGTACAATGACCATCGATAATCAACAGATCCTGCCTTCATCCAACTCACATGCCCCCCACTCCCCTCCCGGCCTTGATAATCAGACACATAGAACTACTCACCAGTGGCACTGGCATAAACAACTCTGGCTTTTGGCAATTTGTTCTGAAGCTCTAAAACTGCTAAGCCTGTCTTCGTTGGCTTTGATGAACCAACAGGACATAAGTTTTTTGCTTTATGACATTCATCAAACACTATCTGTAAGGAATGCGTGAAGGATCATATCACATTAGTAGAAAAGTATTTCCAATTTCTCAGAAGAGTTAACTTTTATTTTCCTGAAACCTTGAAAGGTTTCTGAAGGTGGTGGCCTTCCAGTAAAACTCAAGATTATTAAGGGAGTGGACATGGTTGCCAATAAGCCTCTTAATATTAACTTTTAAAAGTAACACACATAGCTATCATCTAACTGTAAAATCGTAATGTCTTGCACGGTTTGTTTTACTTTGTCTCCTCTTCCAATCACAATATGAATGTGCCTATACACTCCATTCACACCCTCTAGCCACAGAGGCACACATGGAATGTGGATTTATCTTAACCAGATAATTTTTGAAGAATGGAGGATAGGATGCAATGTGGCAAGAAATGTTGACCACACAGTAATTCTGGTAAATTCTCAGAGTAGATGCATGATTGGTACCCAAGTAAATCAGTATTTCAAAAAAGAAGTTCCTCATGCAGGATGGTAAAATGTATACTCTGAGTAATTAAGTTTGGAAACCATCTGGTAATCACCTATTTAAGAATTTTTTACTCCCTTTGTCCTCTCCATTACTTCATTATGTAACGTGGATCCTCAAGAAGGGAGTAGAGTATTTAGCATTTCCCACACCTGTTAACATTTCCCTAATCCAGAAATGTAAATATTGGTCTTACATGACAGCTGCAAAATACAATCAAATTTCTGACTCCCCTTGGACTCTACAACCATGAAGGCTCTCATCCCAGCATTTAAAAAATCTACTCCCAGGATTCTTGTTTTCCAAATGGTGACCCTTAAATTACCGTTTATGGCTTTACAAAAATATAAAAACACTTGCAAAGGATACTACTCCGTCGAAATCATCACCACACCAATGCAGAAGTTGTTTTAACCTAGTTTTGTATTTACCACCAGACTGACTTTCACCAATGAGGGAAGAATAGGTAGCAAATATAACACCCTTTTTCACGCTTCCATTATGTTTGGAAGAAATTTTGCCATATTTAAACTAAAAAATAAAAGAGAATAGTTTAATTAGTATATTTCTGTCTCTGAAATATTTATCCCACTCAAGTTTTCCACAGTAGGAAACAGGTGAGCCTTTGATGAGTTTTAAAAGTCAAATTACCTCCTAAGATCATATCCCAAATTTCTGTCATATGTGTGCGTATACACTCACAACCAGAAACATATACAGACAACTTTATGTTACCAAGATACAGTGTTCAGTCTCAAAAACGTCTACCACCAGAGATTACAAACCAAAATCCCTTACAAGCATTCACACTATACTCTGCAAATAGTCATGTGTATATTATTGGCAAAGCACTGTAAGTAAATTTTGGTAGAAATCATGATTGATAGCTATGACGACCTTCATAATTCACTGACATTGAAAAAACATTTGTACGTGCCAGTTAAATGTTTTTAATTTTGAACTGTTATCATTAAAAATATAGCCCTTCACCTACCAATCCACTTAGTAATACCCAGCCAAGAAAGCCAGTACTGAACAGGAATTCCACATAAACCTACTTAGGACATGTAAAAGTAGGTCTACAATTTATTTTCCAAGGGCTATTAAAAAGAACAACTTGCAAAACTAGGTATATCTATTTTGTTCTTGTAACGCCAACAATTTTTGTGTAGTAAGTTCATAAAGATTTTCTAAATGAACACTAAATTTTTAATCATATTAAACAGCTTTTCACACTGAGACATAAACAATTTCATAGAATTCTTTTAATGGGAACACAGGAGCAGGTATACAAGCTCCAGGTCATCCAAGGGAGACTGGTTTCAGGAACAAAATCCAGATGCTCAAATATCTTATAGAAATTTCAATTGCATTATTATTTACAAAGGTGGATTTGCCTACGTCCTAGACATATCCTCCCATATATTTTAAGTAGTTGTACACTATATTTTCAGGAAATAATGGTAAGAGAAGTCTATACATGTTCAGTACAGAGGCAACCATCCTAGACCTAACTTCCTAGTACAGATTTTCTTTTTACTGTTGGTTGCAGAATCCACAGATATGCAGGACTTATAGTACATATATTGAAACCAATTTGCAAACTACATTTCGCTAAATGTAAATGGACACTCACTACTGGTCCCACTGCTTTATTACTCTGCAGCTATGTGCTCACACATGAGTTCTACCCATATAAAGTTACTTCACAAAGATAAAAACACTGAAAATCAGCAAATACTGGTATGATGCCTAATGCTTTTTGCCACTACATAGTCATACCTGGCATCAAACTGATATGGACTAATCCATAAGCTGAGAACAGTGCTACAAAATCAGAACCGTTATTCTTCCCATAACACAGATGAGTTGATATTTACTTATTTCACAACCAACTGTGCATTAAGTTTTCATACCTTATTTAATGAATGGACCAAAATGTTTTTTGCTCCAATATCCCTCAAATCCCTTTCAGCATCATACTTTAAATCATTTGAAACACTGAACCTGCCATAAAAAAAAAGTACAAATTAAAAGCAAGTTCCATCATTCTAGCAGTACTGAGAAATAAAGCCAAAGCTTCTCTCTCACACACACACAAATCTACTCATTAAAACCCATCCCCACATGCTGAAGCAATTATCACAGATGGAAGCGTTCATAGTCTTCAGTACTCACCACAATGCTCTTTTTCTACTCAACAAGTAATTTTCATAGATAATTCCTGCTATCGTCCTTCCTTTTCCTACACCAGCACCATCACCTATTAAGAAGCCAGCACGGTCTCCATTAGGTAGGAATGTTTCATGTTGCTGAAAAAGAGAAAAATCAATCATGAATATACATTTTTACAGATACTTTGGCAATCGACCTCTCGTACATATTGATGTAACTTATTTTTATACAAAAGTCAGAGTTTGGTGTGGTATGGATATTTTCTACATATTATTCACTTCATAGTCTACATTCCTACCAACACATGTACCATGTAACCAAAGTTAATGATCTGGTGAGCATTCTCCAATGCCCTTTTCAATGCTTGCAAAAATACAAATTTTTACATCACACACAACAAACATGGGAGATGGCTGGCTTTATGGCCATTACTTGTTCTATAAAAATGAGGTATGATAGAAATCCTCCCAGAACAACCAGTATGTTACTAACTTATACTTCTTTAATAATAGTTTATTTTTATATCATTTTGTGCCTTTTAACTTACATATTTTTTAAAAAACTAGAAGAACACGCCATCAGAGAGTAAAAACGACGTACTGGGTCACTCCCCAACACTGCTGGCTTTCCTTTTAGCCACTGGGGGAAAACAAAGAGCCCCCACTCCATACATGTGTGAAGACTATCTAACAGGTCTATGAGATAAATATAGACACTAAGGCACATTCCCAGTAAGGTAACTGTTAGGTCAAAGAATGTACACATTCCAAATCATATGTATTTTCAGTGCCTCCAAAAAGTTTATTAACACCTGTCATATGTCATATCTACTATAAGTTCACCCCTCACATCCATGTTACCCTTTTTATTTTCTAACACATAATTCACAACTCTGACATGAAAGAGCCCATCTTTAGACTAAAAGATAAATACTGCATGCAGTTATAAAACATTGCTTACCTGGGCTGCATATGTAATTGCCTCAAGTTGTAATGCTGATAGCCAGCCATTATCAATGGTTTCTTCAGAAATGGATGTTTTATACCAAACATCAGGAGGTGTAACACTTGATAAAGAACTAGTTTCCACTACAGCATCCGGGTGACGTAGGCCAATTTTTACTAAATGGAAATTTAAAAGGACTTCAGTTTCAATTATTTTAGGTAACAACACCTCCAGATTTATTGTAAGATACTGGGATATTTTTCCCATGACAAGAAAAATATAATGCATCAGTAAACTATACACACTGAGTTTCTACTAAATGTCATTGACTAATGATAAAGTCCTGTTTAAATCTGACTAAAATGACAAATTCATCTACTACCTATAATTTAAATAGACCTGTTGATTAAAAATATCAAGAAAAATACCAACTTAGTCGAAACTACTAAGGTCACTGCAAGTTAACAGAACCTAGTCCTATCGTTTATTACTTTGACTAATCATTTATTTCTATCAGTGAAACAAATGTGATTAATTTTATATTGAATGGTACTTCAAAGGAAATTTTGGCTATAAAAAGCAGCAGCTAATTTCCCAAAATGTATAATGTAAATAGTTTAAAACTTTTTTCTACATTGTGCATCCAGTCCCTCCTCATTACTGAACACTGCTGTCGCTGCCTAAAAGCAGCCAAGAGTGACAAATAAACCAATGGGGATTTCTAGGTTCCAGTAAACTACGAAAGAGGCAGCAGTCAGATTTAGTTTATTTTTACTTTAAAGGGCCATGGATAAATTTTCCATCCTTTATTGAAAACTATTTGGGGGCACAGGGGAGAAACATAAAATTTCAAATACAATATAAAGTTCATTTAAAACAACAGGAAATAATGGGATCTTACAGCTCACATGTGGTTTGTAGAAAGATTCTTAGTCCCAGTTAAGTGGTGTTACTAGTGGCTTTTTATAGAAGCCCTTAATACAGAAAAGAAAGATCCTTCATATGGATTTTTCACCTTATAATCTTGTAATACAATGAAAAAGGGAAGACATTTACATGCAAGCTAAGCAATACTAATTTTCAACTTATATAGAGAGCACAACAAAGTAAATCACAGATGTTACGGGAAAAGTGCACAAATGGTGTCAATGATAACCCATGAATTCAAATGGCACCTTTTATTTTCAAGATTCCCATGTTTTTATGACTTTTTATAATTTATATGAAGTGGAAATAAAATGTGTATTTACATAGTTACAATTTACTATGATTTTACAATCACTGCTGTCATGAGCAAAGTTAACACAAAATGAAACACAAACTTTTATACCCTTGGTTTTAAGAGATCTCAACCTAAATTTGTGGAGGGGGGAAAAAAGGTAAAATTTCAATGTAGGTATTTCTAGAAAAAAAATTTACAAAAGTTCACACTTATCACATCTTGAGGAACCCACCATTGAGAACCCCAATAAAAAACAGTTTGTGTGGAAAAGTTATTTTAGTTCAAGAGGAGCTCAGAAATCTTTATTATCTGACAAAGACGTACATTTTATTGGCATATACTCTGCATAGGTCTCTGCATGACCCATTTCTTCTTCATCTTCTTCCTCTGGTTCATCATCATCTTTCACAACAGGAACCTTCTGTAACAGAGAACAAAATTGTCAATTCTGAGACCAGAAACCAGAGACTCATTAAACAAGTGGCAAAAATCTTCTGTAAGAAACCTACAATCTCTATAATCTCTACCCCACTCTTGGAGACGGATGTTCTGCTTTTGATATTCCCCTAAAGGTTGGGCCACACTGTCACTTCCCTGCTTCTCTATTTATAATACAGACAACCCTTGACAATTCTGCTCCCTAAAATGGTCGCATTAGTGTTCCCCCCTCCCTTCTAACCCCACCATCATCAAACTACTTTCCCCTTCAATGTTGACTACCCTCTCTCTCACCTCAGTTCTCACTCCAGTTCCAGAACTGCAAAGACAAATGAGAGGTATGGGAGAAAAGGTGGATGAGCTCTCGCAGCACATCCTAAAATCTCACAGGCAAAAAACATCCCAACCTCTTTTCAGTTAACCCCATCTGTCTTCATTCCTGCAGAGCCTAAAATCAAAACCCCACGAAGATCCTGGAGTTGATCTGCCCTGGCAAAATGCAGCAGCCCTCTCTCTGCCAGCCTTTATCTATGGAGGTGCCTATGGTTTTCCTTTCTCTTTTTCCTAATAAAACTGTCCTTTTAAAATGAAAAACAAAACAAAACAAAACCAACCTCAGAATTGACTTTTCTAAATTATAGAAAATTTACTTTCAATGTCAGTGTCTCCACAGATAACCAATCACACAGAGAGATAGCCCTTCTTTCTCTCCAATCCTTGGCACATCTGGCGATAACACGGGGAGCTATTTATAATTACACCAGGAAAACTGGAGTAAACCCAGATTGTCCTAAACCAAGTGAATGAATGGTCATCAGTGTCACACCAAATCTTAAAGGGACGCAGAAAGGAACAAGGAGAGGAAGACCCTGAACAAGTCTGCCCACTACCAATGCAACCATTAAGGAAATTGTCTGGATATGTTCAAGTGAGAATACATAGAAGCAGCTCTGACATCAGATACTCAGGAAGGTCAGAGAAAGGGAAAGTTAGAAAATATGGCACTGAAAGTTATGTGCAAATCTTCTTTTTCTTGTTTATTTATTTTAAAAGATTTAATTTATTTATGCATACAATAACTAGGGTATAGGTGGGGGGAGAGGAAAGGGGATGAGAGAATTCAACAGGTACAAGAGTGGGGAGCAGAACTGAAATACACTGCTTTATTTTATTTTCTAAAATGATTTATTAATTAAACACATGCCTTTTGCAGCAACATGGATGGAGCTGGAAAAGATCATGCTTAGTGAGATAAGCCAGAAAGAAGAGGAAAAATACTGGATGGTTTCACTCATAGCAGGAGTATAAAAGACCAGGAGAGAAAATAATAATAATAATATTAATAATAATATTAATAATAATGAACAACTGTATACCAGAGACATTTCACAGGGGTGGTATGAGATCAAAAACGGTGGGGGGAGTGAAGTGCACTGGACTATGGTGATGGCACACGGGTGATTTGGTGATGGGAAGCCCACAGGGATGACAACTGAGATGGGAAAAGGCACCAAATGATGTAAAAATAAAGTATTATATTATTTTTTAAAAATTTATGTATTTATGCATACAGAATTGGGGTATAGGCCAGAAAAATGCAGGAGTGATGAGAGAATTCACCAGAGAGTAGAGAGCAGAACAGGCAAGTTGAGTGAAATACAATAATGAGGGCAGCAGGGGGCATGTCAAGACGGGTCTGCTGTGTCATGCGGGTCCTCCCCTTGGTTGGGGATCAAACCTGTGGGGAAGCGACAGCTGAGAGCACAATGCTGTGCTTTAACCTGCTGTACCACCACCAGGGAGGGCCCAACACTCCTTTTTTCTTTTACAGTTTTTTATTTATGCATACAAGAACTGGGATACAGGCCAGCAGTGGTGTGTGTGTGTGTGTGTGTGAGAGAGAGAGAAACAGAGAAGAGAGAGAGAGAGAGAGAGAAGACAGATGGGTTAGCTCCCTGGCTGGGGACTGAACTCACACGGCTATGGTATTCCCTATGCAGCACACAAAGCAGATGTCCACCTACCAACTCTAGCCATCTTCTACTAATGAAGAATGTGGGCTCAGGGTTGAAGGCAACTTTAAGAAAATCTGGAAAACGCAGTTTCTATATAAGAGCAACAAATTTTAAAAATTTCAAAGTATTGTGGAGGCCAAACAAAACACATCTGTCAACTGGTTTTGATTCAAGGCTACCATTTTGCAATCTCTGTTGGATGTTTCTTAACTGCTAGGACAATACAGAACCTTTGGTAAACATGGGAAGTGCTGGACTGGGAATTTAGGCATTATAAAAAATTCTTGAAGACATAATGCGTAGTTCGCAAAAAACAACTTCCAAGCAAGCCAACAGCACACCACCAATTAGTAAATTTGGTACTGTCTGCACTGGTTTCCTTGGTCCCCATTTTAAAACATCAGATACCAGTTCTCTGTTGTCTCTTCAATTTCATATTCCACCCTTGATCAAGCCCTACTAATTCTTGGCATTGCTACATATGATCCTCTCTTATTTTCTTCCTTTTTCATTCTCCTCATCCTTTTACAATCTCCTTTGCAATCCCCAAAATTTAATCCCTTATCACTCCCCTTGGAATACTTAACCAGACTACCAGTCACCCTCTTCCGTACTCCAAGGCATCCACAATCACTAGAAGGCCTTACACTTCCAGTGGCCACCACAATGGGGTTGCATCAAGTTTCAGGTTCTTCAAACCGAAGCAGGACTCTTCACAAAACCCAAACCAATCAGCCCCAGCCTCTTCCATTAAATCAAGCATGTCAGCCTGCTGTACAACCATATAACCACCACCTCCTCTGTGATTATTAATGCTTTAGCTCCCGTCTTACAATGCTATCTTTTAAAACCATGTATTCAAATTCAAGGCCTCTGTACTTCTTCCAAAATAAAATCATTAGAGTTCAGGGAAAACACCTTTATCCAAACTCACAATGCTTATGGTGCTCACCATCACACTGTACTTCTGATGTGCCTTATATTACTAGTTAATTCAAGTAGCTGCCAAGTTATCTTTAGTGAGGTGAAGCCAATCAGTAACTCCTCCTAGACACCCATCCAGAGCAGTTACTAAATAAATGTACAACCAACTGACCTAATATTGCATTTTCAAAATGTAAAAAAGATAATCATACAATAACTTATAACTAGACTGTTATACTACCTGATACCTCACTAGTTACATATTCAGATTTACTTGTTTGTTGTTTTGTTCTTAACGATTTATTTTATTTATGTACACAAGAGCTGGGATGTAGGCAAGAGGTAGGTGGTGGTAGTGGTGGTGAGAAGATTACCCAGAGACTGAATGGGGAGCAGAAGAGGCAGATATTACTGAAACACACTGCTGAGGGAAGCAAGACCAGAGGGCTGTTGCGCCTGTGGACCAGCTCCCTAGCCAGGAACTCACACTGCATTGGCTGGAAATACCTTGATAGTATTAAGATTTAACATTTAACCCCGTGTCACTAGGGAGGCCCTGGTTTACATATTAAAATTAACTAATGATAGGGCCCTCCCTGATGACACAGTGGGTTAAAGCATAGCACTGGGAAGCTAAAGCCACTTCAGCATGAGTTTGATCCCCGCCCCAGAGGTGATCCCATGTGGCAAAGCAGATCTCTACCGACCCGCCCGTTGCTCCCCTCAGCAGTGTACTTCGTCAATTGGCCTGTTCTGCACCCCACTGTGTCTCTGGTGAAACCTTTCACTGTCCCTGTACCTCTGGCCTGTACCCCCAGCTCTGTATGCATAAATAAATAAATCTTAAAAAAAAATTAACTAGTAATAAATTTAAGTACTTTTGATTAACCCCACTGTCCTTATTTTCTGATCAGATGAGGTTCACAATTAGAAAATGTCAGTATTGCATGTCATGCTGTATCAAACACACAAGTTTTTAAAAAAGATTTTTATCTAGTTATTACTGCATACAAGAATTGGAATGCAGGCCAGAGGAACGGGCTGGAAACGAGTGGATTCACCAGAGACAGACTGGGAGCAGAACAGGCAGATACACTGACGTACACTGCTGATGCAAGCAGCAGGCAAGACAGGAGACGTCTGCTGTGCCGTGTGGGTCAGCTCCCTGGTCGGGGATTGAACTCATGTTGCAGTGGCTGGCAACAGCTTGATAGCACTGTTATCTATAACCCCTGTGCCACCAGAGAGGGCCCAGATAACTGTACTTTCATGCCACACATAAATACAAACAGTTCTGAAACTCACCATGGTTGGGGAAAAACTCCTCATTTTCATGTCATTTATCCATATTCTTGCCACTTCTTTATTAGAAGATTCTTTCTTCACTGTACCATTGCTTACGTCAGCTGTGGGAGAGAATCAATTTACCTTTCAGAACAAAATTCCGATTTCTTTCCATATAGATATTCCTGAGCTAAGTTTACCTACTTCACAAACCAAAGAATACCACCTCTTATCACTAACTTAAATTCAGAACAAGAATGAAAATATTCAAATCTATGTGTCTTTATAAAGGTACAAAAGAAACCCTGCAAATGAATGACATTTAAAAAAAAAAAAACTTAGACAACAAGCAATGTTAAAGGAAATGTGTGCAGCGGATTATTGATAGTTTATTTCAATACAAATACTGAGAACATGCCTTACTCTGTGGTACACCTTCATGTGAATCATTCAAGAAAAATCAAAACCATAACAACCTTGGTGTTATATCACTAAGGCATACTCAATCTCACCTAGTTTGGTGATATAATTTTCGAGGCAAAAGTGGAAGGTCTAAAAACTTTTGGGAGCAAAAAGAGAAATACATGTCTTTTGCAGCAACTTGGATGGAGCTGGAAAAGATCATGCTTAGTGAGATAAGCCAGAAAGAGAAAGAAAAATACCGGATGGTTTCACTCATAGCAGGAGTATAATGGACCAGGCGAGAAAATAACAAAAATAATGAACAACCATAGACCAGAGACATTATGTGGGGGTGGAGTGGGGAATGGGATCAAAAACGGGGGGGGAGGGGAGAAGGGAGGGAAATGCACGGGACTATGGTGGTGGCACAGGGGTGATTTGGTGATGGGAAACCCGTGGGGATTACAATTGAGATGAAAAAAAAAATGTGAAAAATGATGTAAAAATAAACTTTTTAATAAAAAAAAAAAAAACTTTTGGGAGCTCCTATTTTTCTCCTCCCTGCAAATAAAGATCTAAGCAATAATATACCAGTTTTTCTTCTATATCAGTGGTTTCAAATTCCTGTTTTTGAATATAATAGAACTCCCTCAACCCTAATGTGATCAAACTTGGTCTGCTTTATTGTTCAAATTAGAACATTCAGCCAGAATGAAACAAGTAGGGCACATGCTACATGTATTAAAAGGCCACTGAGATCACAGGCTACATGTAATATGAGGGCTCCCTGTTCAAAATCTATTGGAAAACCACAGTTGAGTGCCCCATAACTAGCTGCATCCTCCAAGTATCCCTAAGGAAGTCCTGGAACTCAGGATTCTTGAGATCAGTGTGAAAATTATACAAGACTGATCATGATTAGAATCTTCTCTCTTCTACCAAAAGATGGGAACTATTTGATAGACTGGCCATTTTAAGACTCCAAAATGACAAGGATTAAAGTGCTGACAAAGCTGAAACAAAGGTAATTTATTTTGGCACAATTTGTTTAAAAGGATTGTGGGAGAGATAGTGGACAGCTCACAGAGTTACAGAACTCACTGAGATCAGAAGCAAATGGCCAACAGTTAAAAAAGGGGCAAAACCCACATTGATGAGAGGGAGCATGGAAAAGCTGGTTCTTTGCAGTTTCATACTTTTAGTAAAAAGATGAACCTCTCCTATAGCACAAATCTTTGCTCATCTTCAGCATACTGACCTTGTTCTTTCATGGCCCTGGCAAAGTCAATGTTTCTCAGCCTTCCACACAAGGACAGTCTTGCTTTGCAGTCTTAAAAATTACTCCTTGGATGTGGAAGAGTTACTGTTCTAGGATTACAATCAGTTCCAAATCTATCCTGTTTTCTGTTTTGCTCTCAAAGTCATGATAGCATATACCATTTGCATCTAAATTATGACGGTATGTGCTGACCTGGAGAGTAGAATGCTCTGAGCAACTCACACAGAAGCATGTCTTTCTCCTCATCAAATCCAAAGAATTTTAATGAAAAGCAGCATCCATTACTGTTGGTTCCCCTAGTCAAGTCACATAGGAGCAATTCCAAATGCTGCCCTGCTCCTCACAGGGTCAGGGCCACATTCTTGCTCTCCATGGCAGCAAATGGAAGCCAGTACTGAGATAGTTAAAATGATTTCTCAAAGGACACCTAGCCATTAGGTTACAGTTAGTTCAGGCAGAGAAAAATAATAATGGCCTAAGACCACAAATGCATGGGCCCAAACATAAAAATTAGATTATCTGAAATAGTTAAGTGTCTGTCACTACAGACAATACCAGCTCTACATCATCCAAAGGGTACTTCATGCCTGTTCTTTTAGAATGAGTAAAGCCCTCTACTCTCAAGTCCCCTACTTAAACTCAAGTATATTACAATTTCTGCAACAAAATTATGTATCATTTTATATCAGGTATTAAAGCATATCTCCCACAATTAGAAAAACACATTGGCTATTTGGAAGGAGGAACAGTCTACTCAATTATCACCACTCATTCTAAAAGCCTCATGGGTTAATGTTGTATGTATAAGTACACATTATTGGCAATTTCCATCCTATCCTCTTGGTCCAAAAGAACAAGCCCAAAGAAACTGATGTTTTCTTTTTTTAAAAGGCAATGAAATATGGCCCTCCCTGGTGGTGCAAGGGGTTAGGCGCAGCACTATGAAGCTATCTGCAGGTACTGCTACACAGGTTCAACCCCCAGGGGGCAAGGGGTGGTGACCCCCATGTTGTGGCAGACCTCTCCTGGTCTACCCATCACTCCCCTTAGCAGTGTATTTCAGTTGATCTGCCTGATCTGCTTCCCACTCTGTCTCTGGTGAATCCTCTTATCCACTGCACCTCTGACCCATACCTCAGTTTTTATATGAATAAATCAACCAATCTTAAGAAGAATAAATAAAAAGCTATGAAATAAGTCAGCTCAGGATATAACTGAGGTGAGAGTCACACTCGGACAGCGCACTATGGTACTGTTACTTAATAAGACTCAGATGCTCCTTAGCTCAGAAGAGGGGAGGGAAAGAACATCTCTCTTAAGTGATCACATCATTCAATTTCTAAAACTAAAAACTATACTACTAAAATGTGATATACTAAAAGTTTAAAAGTTTAAAAACAAACACATACACACACAAAGCAACAAACTTTATTTTACCCTAAAAATTACTACACTAAATGGAAAACTTCTTCTGAGCACCACTTAAAATTGTGACCACTTCCTGCCCCAGGCCTCATTTTCTATTCTCTCCATAGCGCTTACTCCTCTGATATAAGTAAACAGGTCACTCATTTTGTTTATTGTCTCTTCCTCTTTACTAGAATGCAAGTTCCATGTGGGCTGAAAATTCAACTTTTCTTCCCAATCACAACCTCAAATCTCTAACAGTGCTCGGTATAAAAAATATTTGAACAAATAAAGCAACAACAAAAAGATACTCCAGAGAAAAAAATCTAAATAGGCTTTATGAATCAACTAATTAGACATCACTGCTAAGCTTTTTCTCTTGAAATCTAAGCCCCTTCTTATAGCAGTAAAGATTACCTGGTGGTGGTGGTTGCACATCTCCACCAGCAGACTAAATTCTACTGAAGTGTATACTTTAAAGGATGACTTTTATGATACGTGAATTTACCTCAGTTTATGGAAAAAGTATTGAAGTATACTGAATTACTTTATAATAAATGTGTATTTTAAGTGAGAATTTACTGAGAGCACAACTATCTATGAACAATGAGGAAAAACCATTGTCAAAGTCACAGTAAAGAACAGATCATCAGTTTCAAGTCTGTCACTTCAGGCAAGGTCCACGAACCTACAGAAACAGAACTGTTGCCGGTCCAATAGCCCATTAAAAAGCCAAATCTTAGGCCCCACCCAAGACCTACTGAATCAGATTTTGGTTTTTAAAAAGATACCCAAGGGACTTATACACATGTAGTTTGAGAAGCACTAATTTCAGAAACTGAGAAAAATGTTAACCCCTTATTCAAAGTATATGAGACTGAGATCACATAGTATTTATGCAGTTAACTGGAAATTGTTTTTCATTTCAAAGGTAAATGACTTTTAAATTTTTGTTTCCCTTGAATTGTTTAAGAGCATAAACACAGTCATGCACACATTAACATTCATGCCCAGTTCATATTAAACCCAAGAAAACCCTCCAAAACACAATGACATGTCTTACAAAAGCAGACAACTAACACTATTGAAAACAAGACTTACTAGCTGCTGTTGCAACTGGCTGAGCAATATTAGCAGGTGGCTTAAGTTTCATGAGTTCGTTCAGACTATTATTTTTTAGTAGGTCTTTCAGTTGAACCTGGTCTTTTGAAGGTGCAGAGGTCATGGCATTTCGTACTGCTGGTGTGGAAACTGAAGGGCGTGTATTTGCAGTAGTTTGGATAAACTTGGTTAAAGTGATGGTTTGTCTATTAGTTGTTACTGGTGGGGTTTTGGTCATTACAATTGTAGATCCCAAGGTCGGAAGTTGATTTATTTGATTCAGCACAAACGTAGTAGTAGATGGAGGCTGCTGCTAGAAAAGAAGACCAAATGCATCATATACTGCAAATGCTTTATTCTTCAATGCAGAGGACTGTCAAAACACTTTAAAGTCAAAAACCTGCTTTTATTCATAATGAACTATTGCAACTTCATCTTCAGCTATAAGCTACCATACTAACACACAACACTGAGGAAAAGTAGTAGAATGGCATTTTATACAAGATCAGTGACGGCAAGTCAAAAATGCGACTCTCTCAGCAAAGTATGATGCACGGTAACCCTAGATATACAACTAGGGGCAGTATTCCTAAGCCCATTGCTACTCTGCTAGGTAGATAACCTCAGGCAAATTACTTCATCTCTGGAGTTCTAGGGTCTCTAAGAACATAACATGGAACCTCCCTGGTGGCACAAGGGGTTGGGTGTTAGCACTATGGAGCTGTCAGCAGCCACTGCAGCAGGAATTCGATTCTCCGGCCAGGGAGCTGGCCCACATGGCACAGCAGACCACTCCTGCCTCACTCGCTGCTCCGCTCAGCAGTGGATTTCATGGATTTTAATCTGCTTGCTCTGCTCCCCACTGTCTCTGGTGAATCCCCTCTTTGCCCCACACCTCTGACCTACATCCCAGTTCCTGTATGCATAAATAAATATTTTTTTTAAAGATTTATTTATTTATTCGTACAGAACTGGGGTACAGGCCAGAGATGTGGAGGGTGAGAGGATTCACCAGAGACAGAGCAGGGAGCAGAACAGGCAGATCGATGAAGTACACTGCTGAGGAGAGCAGCAGGCGGGTCAGGAGAGGTCTGCCTCACCATGTGGAGCTCCTCTGGGGCAGGCGGGGATCGAACTCATGCGGAAGTGGCTTAAGCTACTTTGTGCTGTGCTTTAACACGCTACGCCACCAGGGAGGGCCTAAATCTTTTTTTTAAGATTTATTTATTTATTCATACAGAACTGGGGTACAAGCCAGAGATGCAGAGGGTGAGAGGATTCACCCGAGACAGAGTGGGGAGCAGAACAGACAGATCAACGAAGTACACTGCTAAGGGGAGCAGCGGGCGGGTCAGCAGAAGTCTACCTCGCCAAGTGGATCTCCTCCAGGGCAGGCAGGAATCGAACTCATGTGGAAGTGGCTTTAGCTTCTCAGTGCTGTGCTTTAACCCGCTGTGCCACCAGGGAGGGCCATGATCATGTATTTTTATGTAACTGTTTACTTCTATTTCTTTTACTTTTCAAATTATTTATTTTTTCCATGACTTCCATAAGTGTTCTCTGTTTATCACCTTCAAACAAAGCTCTCAACAACAATAATTTATCGCAAATTATAAAATTATAGTTTGTCCAATAATGTTACAATACCAGGTTTAAGTTTAAAACTGCAGTTTCAGGTAGGGTCAGAAGAGCTCTGTAGTTAAAACACAACTTCACACACACAAAAAAAATACACTAACCAGGTCCTCCCTCGTGTCTAGTGGCATAAGGAGTTCCTACAGCAGTCTGAAGCTATCAGCAGCCACTGCAGCATGAGTTTCATCCTCAGCCACGGAGGGGACACACACGGTGCAGCAGACCTCTCCTGACCCACCTGCTGTTCCCCTAAGCAGTGTATTTCAGTTTGCCTGATCTGCTCCCCACTCTGTCTCTGGTGAATCCTCTCACCACCCTCTCACCCCAGTTCATATGCATAAATAATCTTAAAAAAAAAGAACACTAAAATTTTTAATCATTTGCAATAAATAGACACAAGGATTTTGTTTTATGTTACTTAAATACCAAAAGAATGAAAGAAATGTTTTACATAGGCTTCCCTGTGACATAAGGGGTTGAGTACTAAAAGCTAGCCACGGTCGCTGCAGCATGAGTTTAATCCCCAGCTAGTCTGGTGACTCACATGGCAAAGCAGACCTCTCCCATCTGGCCTGCTGCTTCCCTCAGCAGTGTATTTCAGTAGAACTGCTGTTTGGCTCCCCACTGTTTCTGATGAATGCTCTCACCACCACCCTCATCCCAAACCCCTACCTCTGGGGTATATCTCACCTCTTGTATTCATAAATAAAATAAATTCAGGGCCCTCCCTGGTGGTACAACAGGTTATAAAGTGCAGCACTACAAAGCTAATAGCCACTTCAGCACAAGTTCGATCCCTGGCCAGAGGTGACGCACATGGCCCAGCAAACCTCCCCTGCCTCACTTGCTGCTCCTCTTGCAGTATACTTCACCTATCTGCCTGCTCTGGTCCCCACTCTCTCTCTGGTGAGTCCTCTCACTATTCCTGCCATCTGGCCTATACCCCAACCAATTCTGTATGCATAAGTAAATAAATCTTTAAAATAAATAAACCTTAAAGAAAAATAAATGTTCTGAAGCATCAGAGATGAGAGTAGGATACAGGAAAAGTAGGCAAAAAGAGAAGCAGTGAATAAAACTACTTCACATGTTCTTATTACAACCTTACACTATTTTGGTAATAACACTATATCTAGTAACAACTTACCCGAACATTCAATAGTGCTGGAGTAGGCACAGATTCTGGTTCTTGTTTAACAGGAACTGCTGCTTCAGTCTCCAAACCTAGTTCTAATGCACTAAGTGGCACTGACTGGAGGGAAAAACATCATCAGAGAAAGGATGGCAGTGAACTGTTTCATGAACAAGAGATATATTTTATTAAAACATAAAGTTAAGGCCTCCATGGTGGCACAGGGATTAAAGATAGCGTTATCAGGCTATCACCAGCCACTGCAGCATGAGTTCAATTCCCAGCCAGGGGGCTGACCCACATGGCATGGCAGACCTCTCCTGACCTGCCCACTGCTCCCCTCAGCAGTATATTTCAGTACATCTGCCTATTCAATTCCTCACTGTCTCTGCTAAATCCCCTCACCCCCAACAACTCTGGCCTACACCCCAATTCTAGAATGCATAAGTAAATCACTCTGAAAAAACAAAAAAATACCGTTAACAAGGGTTCCTCCCTGGTGGCACAATGGGTTAAAGCACAGCACTATGATGCTATCTGCAGCCACTGCAGCATGAGTTCGATTCCCTGTTCAGGGAGGTGACCCACATAGAGTGGCAGACCTCTCTTGACCTGCATACTGCTCCCCTCAGCAGTGTATTTTCAGTCAATCCATCTGTTCTGCTCCCTGCTTTGTCTCTGGTGAGTTCTCTTACAATCTGTACCTTTGGCCTATACCCCAGTTCTTATATATATAAATAAATCTTTAAAAACAAAACAAATAGCTAATTTTTACATCAAACTGAATGTAAAATACTGACATCAGGCATATGGCAACAGTCTTAACATTAAAGATTAACGATGCTACAAAAACTATAAACAGTTCATCTTTAAAGAACCTAACAAAGCAGAAAATATTTTGAGTTTCACTGCAAATATTTCTCGTATTTCTTCATTTTATGAATGAAGACTAATTGTCAAATATAAAAAATTCACATGTAATTTAAAATGAAGGCTTAATAAAACATACTTTGATAAATAGAAATTAAAACTAAAGATCTCCATTTCAGAGATTTTGCTAACTCTTACCTGCTGGACGGGAGGGGTAGGTGTTGGAGTTGCAAGTCCTGCATCTCCACCATCAATATCAAAGAGGTCATTTGGACTGATTCCACTCTCACTCAAAGCAGCAAGCAGTAAATCTTGCCCTGGTTCCACCATCTTTAAAATAAAACATTAAATATTAACATAAAAAAGCTTAAAATGACAACTCTTCTAAATATAAACCAACATTTTCTATCAGACCCATTAATTCAATATTTAATGAAGAGCTTACTATACGTCAAACAGAAAGGATGAAAGAGAATAGTCTCTGGCACCAAAAAATTCACCTTAAGGGAAGGACTGAAGTATGGAAATCACAGTAAGAATATATGTCTACAAAATGGTATAGAAATAGAAAAATGTTGAGCTTTGCTTGGGAAGAGAGCAAGGGAGGACAGGAGAGTCTCAAGGCAAAATCACTTGGTGAACAAAGATCCTTTTGGACAGCTTATTCAAACTCTTGGAGGCATGAGACACTAGGATGCTTTAAGAATAACTGTTCGAATAATTCAACATAGAAACTGAGAACAGAAATACAAGGCTCAGGAAGGTGATAACCAGAGACAAGGCAGGTATCACCACAGCCTGCAGGTATCACCACAGCCTAACAATCTGTTCACTTAATCCTGTGGGTAATGGAGGGTCACTAAAGAGATTTCAGATAGGGGACTTCTTGATACAGTCTTGTCACTTAGATTGCTCCACAGTAATGTGGAAACAAAAACCAAAAGCAGAGAGACATCTTGGAAACTGCTAAAGCAGGACCAAGGGAGAAGTGATGTGTTATTACAGCAGGATATGGAGAGAAAGAGGGAAGGAAGTTTAGAACAGAAGGGAGATCATGAAATGCACAAAAAAGCACAATTTGATGGTTAGAAGTTACATCAAGAGAAAGTAAAAAATAAAATGTTTAGCCCAGAAGGACTGAATCTAAAAGGTGAATGAATTATATTGAATTTAAGAGGGAAATGTCTATTTAGGAGCAAACCCATTTTAGGTTGGGGTTTTCCAACTATACGCTTAGCATTAAAGCAAATTTATCACTAAAACAAATTCTTGCCCATTTTGTAGGGGGAAAAGCTCAGCAAAGCTTTCTCAATTTCCTGAAATAAACTATACATACACATATAGGTATGTATGTACACATGTACATGTATTTACAGAAACCTGATTGTATTTATTTTTCTCAGAAAATTAATGCCATGTTACATGAATAATTTCAGCTAGTGTATTTGTTCTCAAACTGTGAAACAGAATTAAGTGTCAGTGTTCATCACCTCCTATCACCAAAAAAAGAATACCATGACAAGGCCTCCCTGCCGGTATAAGGGTTTAAGTCTCAGCACTATTACAGCCCAGTTTGATCCCCTACCAGAGAGCTAACCCACATGGCATAACAAAACCTCTCCTGTCTCCCTCTGCTCCAGTCAGCAGTGGATTTCAGTCAATCTTCCTTCTGTTCCCTACTCTGACTTGCAATACCTATGTGCAAAATCTTTTTTCTTTCTTTATTTCATGAAATCAAACATTAATACATGTAGTTTCAATACTTAACTTCCAAGTGGCAGTCTAAAATTAAAATGGGGGAGGCACCCCTGGTTGCGCAGGGGTTAAAGACACAGTGCCATCAAGCTCTAGTCAGCCACTGCAATAAGAGTTCAATCCCCATCCAGGCAGCTAACCCATATAGCACAGCAGGCCTCTCCTGTCTGGCTCACCGATCCCTTCAGCAGTGGATTTCAGTCAGTCTGCCTGTTCTGTTCCCTACTCTGTCTCTGGTGAATCCACTCACCCTTACACCCCACACCTCTGGCCTGTACCCCAGTTGTTGTATGCATAAATAAACAAATCTTAATTAAATTTAATAATAAAAAAGCCCTCCCTTGTGGTGCACTGGGTTAAAGTGCAGCACTGCAAGCCAGCAGCAGCCGTTTCAGTGAGTTCAATCCCCAGCCCCATAGGTGATCCACATGGCCCCCACATGGCATTGACAGACCTCTCCTGGTCTGCTCACTGCTCCCCTCAGCAGTGTTCTTGGTAAATCTGCCTGTTCTGCTCCCCACTCTGTCTCTGGTGAATCTTCTCACTACCACCCCCCCATCCCACCCTTCTGGTCTGCACCCAAATTCTGTATGCATAAATAAAATCTTAAAAAGAAATCTGTTAAGAAACTTACCCAAGAAATAATGGCAACAAGTTATAAAGGACACTCACTTTTTCAAATTTATTTACAGAAATCAGTTTGAGACTTTCTAATCATATCCCAATAATGAGATATCTATAAAACACTGTCTTTCACAATAAAAGGATTTAAATTTTGTATATTTTATATACAAATAAAATTTAGGAGTGCTTTCTCTCTCAGGCAATTGGTCACAATTTTCTACTTCTAATTTTTTCCATGAAGAAGGGGGAAAAGAATAGAGAGGGAACATCTATGTCATTCTCTACTGCCATTAGCAGAACTCTTAATATTTAATCATATTCCTATCCTGAAAGTATTAGACTCCCAGATTTCGGTGCTGGGACTGTGAAAGTCCTTAAAAGGTTATATTATCCAATCTCATTTTACAAATAAGTAGTATTTATCTCTGAGAGGGCAAACATCCTACAAAGTACAATACAAATGCAAACACTGTCATGTATGAAAACTGTTTCCAGTGTCTAGAAAGGATTTCAGACTTCAAGGGGAAGCTCATGTTACTAACCTCTGTGATTTTATCTCAAACAAGACAATGAAAAGATCCCATTTTATCACATATACATGAAAATATAACCTAAATCAAAACAGTACACCTATGAAAACATCTATGATAATATCCAATCAGAAGAATTAAAGGATACAGTTTCCACTGAGGATACTGACACTAAAACCTAAAAGGACAAAGTTCTTGTTGATATTTAAAGCAGATTTTTATATCTCTGGGCAGATGAAAGGTATGTATCTACAGCATCTGGCAGAAAGCTAGGGAGACAAAAGAGTGAAAGAAATTACCTGGGGCTCTACCACTGGCTATGTGTAGTGAATGTTCGTACAGTCAGTGCACTTCCAACTGCACTACTAGCATACTTAAGTTGTACGTTATGGTCAAGTAATAGCCTCCTCTTCAAATAAGATAAAAATAGATCATAATTATAGAATTGCTATGTTGAGTAATGTTATGCTAACTGAAATAAATGCTAGCTGTTAGCTATTAACTATCATTTTGATAAATATTAGTGTTGTGCTCAAGAAATGTTTACTCCATATTGCTGATATAATGTATACTTTCCCAGAAAGCCAATTTAACTTGTTGGCAATCTATTCACTAGTTAACTCTCAAACCAGTGTCTTATCGCATCTTTTTTTACCTAGCCATGCAGTTTGTCCAGTTAATCAGTCTATAGACAGCAGAACATGTGCACTTAGAAAATACCTTTGCCTGAAATAATAAAAAGGGTTTTTTTCTTATTTAATTGCACTAACCAGTCTGATTTTTGTCTTAGCTTCAATTTTGATTTTATACATCCCAGATGTGGTAATAACTGATTATTTTAGAATCTAGTGAACAATGATTCAGTTAGAATTTAGCTCACATAGCCCACTGATAAGTATTTATTAAATATATACTACGCACTTGACCCCTTTAGAATATCAGGAGAAAGAGAAGGCAGTTATCAAAAAAAGTTCATTATAAGACATAGTTCTTTACCTAACAGGACATAATCTTATTTTTAACAATTACTTCTCATGGAAGCAACTGTTCAGTAAAATGACCTCCCCTCCCACTTCACTACAAAATCTATAGGAAGAAGGGACTTACAAAGGAATGTACAAATTGTATATGGAGTTAGTGCTTCACAGAGAACAAGAATCAGCGAGCAAAAATGAAACAATTTTTCTAGGTCAGCACATCAAATTCAAGATAGCTAAACTTCCTAAGATTTACTAGATTTACTGTATGCTTAAATTTTTCCTTTTTTTTTTAAGATTTATTTATGCATATAGAACTGGGGTACAGGCCAGAGGTGAAGGGGCTATGAGAGGATTCACCAGAGACAAGAGTGGGGAGCAGAACAGGTCAACTGCTGAGGGGAGCAGTGGGCAGGTTAGGAGACATTTGCCATGCCATGTGGGTCACCTATGGGGTGGGGATTGAACTCATGCTGAAGTGGCTTCAACTTCTTAGTGTTGTGCTTTAACCCACTGTGCTACCAGGGAGGGCCGAATTTTTCCTCTTTTAACCCTAAAAATAACCCATGAGTAAACACGACCTTCTTGCCCCCCTCCAACCCTACAAAGAAGAAACTGAGGGCTTGAGAAAGTATAACAAAGTTAACAAAACAAACTTGGAACAGATTTATAAAACCGGGAGGTCTGCAACCACTCCCTCCAATATTCTGTACTCTTAGATTAACCCTACACCACTATCTTTCAAATTGATGGTCACTACACAGTAAACTAGTGAGGCAACTTATGCATCATGATCAGTACTTTTAAGTATTTCAGTAGAGAACAGAAAATATGTGCATGCAGAATAAACATGTAACAAAATAAAGTTTCCCACTTCTATTTATACATAAACATTTATATTTCTATATTGCAAATACACAGGATTTCTTAGAGTGGGATGCAGTCAAAAAGTTTGAATGTCACTGCTCTGTGCTATAAACTGCCTCCCAACAAGTTAACACATGTTAATATGATGGGATATGTATCATAACCTCACTGGGTGATAAAGAGTACCTGCTCTTTAAAAGTCTATCTTTTCCAGCTGCAGAACATTTTGGTGGTATCACAAGGTTGTTTTAATACTTAGTAAATTCAAGCCCATTAATGTAGATTGGACAATTGGTATAAAAAAAGACAAAACTTGGGGATTACATCACTTTAATAATTAATTGATTATTTCTCTCAGAAGTTATCTCTGTATCAGTTAAGCGTGGGAAACCAGAGCCCCAAAAAGACAGATTAGTACTAGGTTAAGATCAGACTTCAAAGCTGAGTGTTTACATCTTTCACAGGCAGTGTCAAGTAAGGCTCAATTTAGAAACCAAGAAAAACCAAAACGTATCTTCAGCTGAAGTCTATGAATCACTTTAAAAAGCGTTCTTCATATTACACATTTTGAAATAATTTCAGCAAATTCCTTAAAATATGTAAAAGTAAAAGATACATAATTGCACCAATTAATGAACAACCAATATGCTACTAACACCTTTTAAAAACTTACCCAGAAACGAAAGTGAAATTTATTCAGAAGTCTGAAGAGAAATGTTTGGAATAAAGTTAGACTGGGAAATAAACAAGGGGGTAGAGAGGTAAAGATTTCTTCTGCTAAGGTAAATTGTGGAAACTACTCTAAACGTGGTAATAAAATGTTCCCTTCTTTGCAAAATTAATATCCCACTCACTGAAAGGAAATTCTGCATTTTATCCTCGAAATTATCTTTGTGCAATGATGACGGCTCTGCCTGCTGCTTACGAAACTCAGTTCTGATTGCCGTTAAGTAACTGGAAAAAATGGAATCTCTCCGCTGTTAGGGGGTTTAAGCATCTGTGGGTATCAAGTCAATTCCAGGCAAGTGTGCTCAGGGTTTGACAGCTTTCTGGACTCTCCCAAGAGCTTCTTTAGAAGCCCTATTCCGTTTCTAATTCTGGTTATCTTAAGAATATGAAACATATAATTGAACATAAATTGCGAATAATCAACTTTCAAAGGTCAAAGGGGCCATTGATATACCTTCCCTCATCAACACGTGTTCAGTACAAACTTCCGGGTACGGTTACAATTGGCTGCGCAATTCAATGGGTAAAGACGTTGCTTTCTTTGACTCTCATCTTCTCTCTCCTTCGTTTCTCAACCAGAGACTCCCCAAAACAAAAGCCTCCCACAGTAAACCGAGCACGCACATAAAAAGAGCTGCTCTGTACGAGGATCAAGTTAGTGGTCCGCAAACATTAACCAAATAGGAGCACAAAGCCCTAGTGGGAAGGGGAGGAGCTGGATGCCAGGGTCAGGAAAAGAAACAATCACAAGGGTTCAGCAACATCCAGATCTCCTCAGCGGTTAAACCGACCCCAAGCTGGGAAACCACCAGCACCCGCGTGGGGAACTTAAGGCGCTCCTCACGCCAAACACAAAGTAATAAACAGATCCTCCAACCGTCCTTCGCCAGGCGCCGCGAATCTGGAAGGCGAGGCGTGAAGGTGGCCCCCATGTGCCCACGTACCGACCCCGCGCCCCACAGCCAGATAAGTTGAGAACTGCTGGTGCACTGTCCAGACCTAGGGCGATCCTGTCGCCGCCAGCAATCGCCCTAAATCAGGAGCGATGCTCCGGCAGGACGACTTTGGAAGAATCCCCGAGCTCACTTTCCCTGCGGGCTCTCAGCCTACGGGCTAAGAGTAACGACCTGGGCGCCCAGAGGGCAGCTGGAGCCATTCCACAGATCCTGCCTCTCCCCCGAAGGGCTGCCTCCGGCCCGGGACAGCGAGCTCACCGGGCCCGAGAGCCCCAAGCACGGCGACCGCAGGGCCCGGCTCTGACGGGCTGAGGAAGCAAGCGCGGCGGGGCCGCCGCGGGGACCGTGCCCTCCGGAGCCCCGGGACGCACAGCCAAGGGGCGACGAGGGAGGCCCCAAACCCGGGCGAGGTGGTGCTCCCCCCCCACCAGCCCGGCCCCACACGGCCCCCTGAGGAGGGTGGGAGTGGGAGGCTGTCCGGGAGGGGGAGTGTGAAAGCAGGAAAAGGGCGGGTGGGACTTACTTTCCCCGCGGGATCCGACGCCGGAGCAGCTTATCCCGGGCGGCGAGAGCTTGAGGAACCAGAGGCGTCTGGAGCGGAGGCGGCGGTGGCGGCGGCGGCGGCGGTAGCGGCGTCCGGCTCCGACTACCTCCCCGCCGCCATCTTGACGCCCCTCCTCCCGACCCCCCCCCGCCGAGGGAGGGGGGCGGAGCGACGAATGAGGCGCCGCGCGCACGCAGCGCGCCCCGCGCGCCCACGTGACTTCCTCCTCCCCCCCCAACCCCCAGCGCCCCTCTCGGCCCCGCCTTCCTCCTAGGTAAAGGAAGATGATTCCCCCCCCCATCTTGACCACCCCCTGCCTTCGCCGCCCTGCAAGAACTCCGCCGGCTCCCGCCGACCCGGTACCAGTGGTTGGATCCAAGGGAATTCCGGAACCCAAACGGTCCATTACAGCGTCTGCGGGGTGGGCGAGGGGTGAGGGGGCCGGGTTTCCGAGAAGGGGGAGGGGGGAAGGCGAAGGCCGCCTAGGAGAGTCACGTGCTTACTGCTTCCGCCGGCGCTCGAAAGGCGTCGCGAGAATTCCGCCCCACTCCCCCCGCCCTTTTTGCCCCGCGGCCTGTCGGGAGGGAGGTCGGCGCGCCGGGTGGCTACGGGGAGGTCAGGCGGTGGGCCGGGGCGCATGCGTCCCACACCTGTCTTGCGAGTCCTTCTTGGAGGGGCCGCTGGCGATCTTCAAAACGTTTGTGATGTGCAGCTTCAGACCAGGAAGTTACCTACTGTCTTTCGACCACTGCAAATCTGTTCATTGTCTGGTTGATCCCAGAGAAAGATACTCGCAAATGCATCGCTCACTAGGCTCGTTCAAAGCATTTTGTTCTGTATGAAACCTCAAGTAGGTGGGAGTCACTGTGCTGGTACAGTGCAGTTACCAAAGGTGGGGAACCCGAGCACAGTGTGCCTCACTGTCATCCTCTTCACACTGGAGAACCCCAACAGACTTGTTCTCAAGTAGGGTTTGCTGCAGAGTTTTGCCGACCTACCACCTCTTATTTCCAGTACACGATTATTTTGGTTACTGTGATTACATGACCCAACAGAACACCAAATGAACTTATTGGTATCCCTTTTGAAAACTCATTTAGAGAATGCGGTTTGACTCCGTTGCTTAGGTAATAGGCGCGCCGGGAGCTTCTTGCCCCCTACTGGCCGCACATTCCTTTCGCCTTCTGCAGAAAACAAACCAGGTCTTAGAACACTTGGGGGTTACAGCATGAGCTATTCAAGAGACAGTGATGGAGGTGGAGGAAGAGGAGAGAAAGTAGTTGTGGCAAGAATAATTATGGATCTTCCAACTCGGCATTTGTATACATAAATGCATTAGTTGTGCGTTTAAAGATATAAACATTTAGGCCCTCCCAGGTGGTGTAACAGGTTGGAGCACAGCGCTTTGAAGCTATCTGCAGCCACTGCAGCATGAATTCAATTCCCGGCCAGGGAGGTGACCCATATGGCATGGCAGACCTTCTGACCCGCCCCTGATCCCTTCAGGGATGTATTTCAGTCATTATGCCCGTTCTGCTCACTGCTTTGTCTCTGGTGAATATTTTCACACCCCTCACCTCTGGCCTGTATCTATTCTTGTATGCATAATACACATTTTAAATAATAATAAAAATAAAAGAATAAAGAAATAAATCTTTTCAGTTGCCAACAAATCACCTTGCTAGTCACTTTACTTTCACCTAAAAGGTGAAAGTTATAATAAAAAAAGTTCCATAAGAACCAGGTCCTGTTAAACTAGTTTATGGGCCAATGCAATGACAACAAACCAGCAGTTGCACTGCTGTCCCATTATGAAAAGTGAAAGAAATGTAAGAGGAAGCAGCAAAGATATCTAAGACATTCTAATTAACCTTGCAGTGTTTTCTGAAGCTTCTTTGGAACCATTTGGTTTCCAAGTGTCCCCAAACTAGGTATACGCTAACTAGAACTATTGAGGACCAGATTCTGGAAGTGGAAGTCTAACCCCGACACTCCACTACCCTCTGAGGTACTTCCTGGGCATCCAAGCCAGGTTCTTGCTGCTATCTTTGCATATTTTCTACCCTGACCAAGAGTAAAACATGGCATTTCAGAGGGTCCTTCTAAAATAATTGCACAGATGTACACAAGTTTTATGCACAGGGGTCTCCCTGGTGGCACTAGGGTTAACTTTCAGAGTGATCACCAGCACTTGGGCCTGAATTTGAATCCCAGCCAGGGAGTTGACCCACATGGTACAGCAGACCACTCCTGTCCTCAGGCTGCTCCCCTCAGAAGTATACTTCAGTAGATCCAACTCTTCTATTCCACTCTGTGTGGTGAATCCTCTCACCTCTCCCCCACACCCTCTACTCTGGCCCACACCCCAGTTCTTGTATGCCTAAGTAAGTAAAGTAACTATTTTTAAAAAATCAGGAAACCTCTCTGGTGGCACCAGAGGTTTGTTCACAGCACTATGAAGCTATCAGAAGCCACTGAAGCAGGAGTTTGATACCCAGCCAGGTTACTGACCCACATGGCTCAGCAAACTTCTCTCACCTGGTGGCATCCTCAGCAGTGTGTTTCAGTAGATCTACTCATTCTACTTCCCATTCTGTCTTTGCTGAAAACCCTCACCCCACACCTCTGGCCTGCACCCCAGCTCTGGCCTGCACCTAGATCTTATATGCATAAATAAATAATATTAAAAAAAAACTCAGTTGAAAAAAAATATGCACAGCTTATCCCATTGCAGCTTTATTTTCAGAAGCAAAAGATTAGAAACAATCTAAAAGTCTTCATAGAAAGGATTGGTTAAGCTGGTTATTTCCTACAATGAAACAGTTGTTCAAAAGAATAAAGTGCCTCTATCTGTGAGAATATCTAGTAATATAGTGTGCTTGGATATACAAATAGAACAGTTTGGAGAGAACACATGTTTGATCTCGAGCCAGCCAGGGAGCTGACCCACATGGTGCAGCAGACCTCTCCTGTCTCCCTGCTGCTCCCCTCAGAAGTGTGTTTCAAGTACATTTGCCTGTTCTGTTCCCCAGAACTCACCTCTCCTGCACCTTTGGCCTACACCCAGCTCTTGTTATGCATAAATAAATAAATAAACACACAAATACTGGGCACTATGAAGCTAGCCACAGCTGCCTCAGAATGAGTTTGATCCCCAGTCAGGGAGCTGACCCACATGCTGGTCAGACTCCCCTGTCTTGCTGGCTGCTCCCCTCAACAGTATATTTCAAGTCAGTCTGCCTATTGTGCTCCCCACTCTGTCTCTGGTGAATCCTTTCACAGTCTCTGCACCTATCGCCTGTACCCTAGTTCTGTATGCATAAATAAGTCCTAAAACACACACACACACACACACACACACAAATAATTATTGAGCCTATAATGTCAGGGTACTATGTGTAAGGTTAGGAACACAGAATGCCCTTGATATCAGTGCCCTTGCAGTCCAGTGGGCATTCATCTGGAAATAACACAAAATGTAAATTGTTACAATGTTACAAAAAGCTAACAGAGCCTGTTAGGGAGGAATTTAATCTTATCAGGAAGTTAAAGAAGTCCAAGGACTGATGAAAATAGATGCTGGGCCTCCCTGGTGTCATCCCCCCATACTGCCCCTCACCCCCTGCACCACTGGCCTATATCTCAGTTCTTTTATGTATAAATAAATAAAAATAAACCTTAAAAAATATATAGGTGCTATTTACAAAAGCAGAAGAAAATGCATATCAGGAAGAAGAACCAACATGGACAACTGTCCTGAAACAGGTAGGGAGCAAAGCTAAGTAGAAAGGACAGTAAGCAGGTTTGTGTATCTGCAGATTTAAGATATTTTCTCAATTCAAAATGCAGGCTTCTTTACCTTGATGCACTGCAAAATGACATTTCTACCAGCCTTTTGGTTGTTAAGACTCTTAGTAAGGAGTGCTGGAGGAGGCTGCCAGGCTGGAGGAGGAAAACATTTCCTGTGAACCTGTGAATGTCAGTCCAGAGGCCTCAGCACCTTGGCAGCTGCATTTCCTTCCCTTAGCAGGGTGAGTTTTAGCCACGCTAGCAGAAGTTGTCTCAGGGCATCAAACACACCTTCACCTTCCAGATACCAGGACCAGAAGGACCAATGAGAATTCCACCTGCCACCCTGTAAGAGTGGACAGTGGCATCTGTTTGGATTTCAGGAACATGGGGCCCCTTTGCTATGCTTCTGACTTTTAAATTACCCAGCTCTTTCCCTTTGTCCCCTTAGCAGGTCCCTGCAGCTGCTACCTCAATTATGCCTGAACACTTTTTTTTAATCTTGCATAGAACTGGGGTGTAGGCTAGAGGTGCAGAGTGGAGGTGAGAGGATTCACCAGAGTGGGGAGCAGAACAGGAATATCCCCTAAAATACACTGCTGAGAAGAGCAGCAGGTGAGGCAAGAGAGGTCTATTGAGTCATGTGGTTCAGCTCCCTGGCCAGGGATGGAATTCAGGCCACAGCAGTGACAGCACTAACACTTAACCCCTAGGCTACCAGGGAGGCCCTTGAACATTCTCTCTTGACCTTGTCAATTACCTAGTTAAGCCAATTTATATCTAGTTGACACTTTCCAAGTTAAATTACCACCACTAAATAACTGGTGTCATTTCTATGTCTTGCCTGAACTGATGGTGAATCATCTGGTTAAAAAGTTTCCCACAGGAAGGAGGGAAATGCACTGGACTATGGTGACGGCACATGGGTGATTTGGTGATGGGAAGCCCAAGGGGATTGCAAATGAGATGGAAAATGCACAAAATGATATAAAAATAAACTCATATATATTAAAAATAATGTTGTAAGTAAACAAAAAATTCCCACAGGTTTGCAAAGATAATGAAAGGCATCCCCCAAATGTTTTTATTTAAAAAAAATATGCATACAGGAACTGGGGTACAGACCAGAGACATGGGGTGGGGGTGAGAGTACCAATCAGACATATAGTGGGGAGCAGAACAGGTAGATCACTGAAACATACTGTTGAAGGGAGCAGCAGGGAGACAGGAGAGGTCTGCTGTGCCATGTGGATTAGTGGGGTACAGGCCAGAGACATGGGGTGGGGGTGAGAGTATCAATCAGACATATAGTGGGGAGCAGAACAGGTAGATC